TTTACAGAGAAAAAAATTTTATTATAATATTAATATTATTAGTTATAATTTTTTTTAGTTTATATAGTTATAAAAGGACACGTGATGTTGGTTTTAGACTACATGCACCATATATCGATTGTAATCTAGGGGATTACTATCAATATATAGCACCTTTTAAATTTTGCTGATGAACGCCGTTACATAACAGACGTTTTCTACATGATAAACGAACACTAAACTACTACAACCTGAAAAAATTTACGTCATTGCATAACAAACGTCTACACGCAAAGAAACCGATCCACCCTTCCGCTTCATACGAAATCCGCAAATGAAAGAATACCAAAAAGTCACCTAAAAATGCAAGAAGATTAGAAAGAATGAAAAAATCTAAGAAACGATAAACACGAGAGTTCCTATAAATGCCAAAACTCCAACAAACAACGAAGTCTCTAAGAAACCTGAAGTACTAACAAACTATGAAATCTCTAAGAAATGACTAAGCACCAACAAGCGTCGAAAGCTTCAAGAAACAACGAAGCACCAACAAACGTTGAAAGCTCCAAGAAACGACGAAAGCTCCAAGAAACGACGAAAGCTCCAAGAAACGACGAAAGCTCCAAGAAACGATGAAGCATCAACAAACGTCGAAAGCTTCAAGAAACACCGAAGCACCAACAAACAACACTCTCACCAAAGGAATGACGAAAGAACTCCAGTAAACGCCTAAAAAAAAAAGAACCGTTATGTTAGTACGAAGAAAATCCTACTAAAGAATGACAACGAAACCCACCAAAGAAATGCCTAAAAAAAGAAACATTAGTATGAAGAAAATCTCAAAGAAACAACAACAACGAAATCTACCGAAGAAAGATGAAGAAACCCACCAAAGAAATGCCTAAAAAAAAAAGAAACGTTAGTATGAAGAAAATCTCAAAAAAACAACGACAACGAAATCCACCAAAGAATAACAAGCAAACGACGAAGAAATGCCTAAAAAAAAGAAACGTTAATACAAAGAAAAACATGACAAAGAAACCTATCGAAGAAACCCACCGAAGAAAAACAAAAAGTAAACAACCAAAGAAATGCCTAAAAAAAAGAA